GTTTGGTGGTACATGGATTCGAAAATCACGACCCTCAGTTTGTGAGTCGAGCGCCCTAACCACTGGCCATTTTGGAGAAAATTTTGAGAGGTAAAGGAATTTGTCTACTTTTTTGCATTTTATTAGTCTATACTGTTTGGTGCATTATTTAATTAAATAAAAATTATTAAGTGTGTTACTATCTATAGTATATAATAATTAGGGTTAAGTCTCTTCAACAATCAACATAAAGAAAATTTGTTAAGTATTTTATTTCTTGCTTTTCGTGTTTATTCTTCATGTATAGTTATAAAAGTAACTAAAATGTAAAAATAAGGATCCTTTAAGGTTTGTTAAGATTAGATTAGGTAAAATAAATAATAATATTATAAAAAAAGTTTCATAAGGCACACATGCGAGCAGCTCATGGTTAATGTAATTCGTTAGTATAATGTGATCTTCACATTTCCTAAGTGAGTTACAACTTATAATTGTGCAGATAGTAGTGAGACACGGTTCAAAAGGGCAATAAAACTTAATTATAAATAAATGTATACTGTTACGAACTTAGAATAAATCAACGCAGTTTCATGTTACAATATGAAATCATTCTAGAGAGAAAAAAATGGTAATTTAGATTTATTTTTAGTGGTTACAAGGTTAGTCGAATGGACCGATTCCATTTTGAGATAGGGTAGAAAAAATAACAGATTAACTAGAAAGTTTTACTGAAAAAAAAAGGTTGAAAAACATTTAGGAAGTTTTAGGAATTACACAAAGGAAATATGAGATTTTTGAAATGAGGAAAAGTATTTTTAATTTTAATATGAAAATTACTTTGCACATGGACTATTCAAAACAAATACTCAATATATTCTTGGACAAATCTTTATTTTATTTATTAAAAATACTTCACTAAAAATAAGATTTTTTTGAATGTGAAAGACTTATAATATTAACCAAAACAAAGGTATTGAAAGTTAAGTATTAAATCTATAGACTTTAAACGAGTACAAAGAGTGCCTGGTCAGTCAAATTGACTGAGCCCGTGTTGAGAGAGTTAAAGGCACTGGAAAACCAAAGAATATGAATCAATTTTGGTCACCAGAACCATCCAGAAAAAGACCTGCATCAAGTCATCCCCAGCTGTGGTAAGCAAAGCACAGCTTCTTGTAATACATGAGAATCCAGTAGCATAAAAGTCAATGACAAAAGTCATCCATGTATCTTAGGAAACAGTATGCAATATAATCAAGAATGATTTCTAGAAATGAGGCCAACATGGTACAAGTTCATCAAGACAAGGTTTCTAGTCATAACTACAGCTCAACTGCTGTATATCTCAAGCAGCTGGAGAATAAAAGGGGTTTCCATGCTATTCCATATGAAGACAATCTGGTAAAGTTGTCAAATGTAGTACCTATAGAGTTTTATACAATCAAACTCTTGGAATTGGCACTGGGAAACAGATGTCTCCATAAAATAGATGGATAATGGAAAGCATCAGGGAGGAGTGTAGTGCTTTGGACATGACAAACTTTTGCAACTAAAGTTAAGCTACTGAGCTTCTGTCAAGATGCATGGTCATCAGATAAAGCATCACAGGATATGGCAATACTGACTGTAACAGTGGGATGATTTTAAAAAGAATTTTTAATATACTCAACCCTGTGTGTGTGTGTGTGTGTATACACGCACAATATTCTTTGAAAATGGTGTAAAAAATAAGTAAATACAGAAAAAAACATTAGAAAACAAAATGTTAAAATATAACTAAATGCATTATATGGAATAAAAATTAAATTATAATACAAATGTTAATAAAACAAATTCCAAAATATTAAAACACACATTGGAGATGCATTTTGTTTTGTGGCTTCAAAACATGGAACAGACTAGACGTGTAATGCTGCTGCCAATAAATCAAAAGGTTAATTATCTTTTCATGAGCAAGGACTAAGTTATTTAAAATAAAACTGTAAATTCATTCTATTAGAGAATCATTAATCTGCAGCTAGATTATCTGTTTCTAAAGGTATTCAAATGTGATGATATCAAATACTTAAAAAAATTTTGATTTGTGCATTTGCTACAAAAACACTTTTTTCATAAACTTCTACTTTCCAGATTTTACGAAACATTAACTTACTTCTGTTTCATGTTTGTGCTTAGTTTCATCAAACATTTTCTTCAGCTCTTCCAACTGGCTTTGGGTTTCATTTAAGGACTTCTGCAGTTCGCTGATTGTTGTTTTTAACTCGCGTTTATCCTCAAGGTAGCGCTGGCACTTCAACTCTGCCTGATCGTATCGTTTCTGGACTGTTGTTTTATCGGCTTCTAACTGTTCTGCTTTGTACTTTAAGTCAGAAACTTCCTTCTTGGCATTGTTCTTTATTACCTTTAATAACATACAATGTTTAATGAACACAAGACTAATATGTATAGGATCAAAGTCATATTTTATTAATCCTGGAGAACATTACTAAACCATTTCTCATTATCTAAAACTAAATTGAAATTCATATTCATGTTACCAAAAAATTATTTTAAAATTAAAAGAAAAAAACGATTACTTTCCTTTAAGAGTTTATCAATAGTCAGAAGGAAAAAAAGATTCTCTTCACTATTTTATATAGGATCTTGTTACAAATATGTCAAAAGGAAAGAAGAAGAAAAAAGCTAGAACAATACAAAGTTGCAAATCACACATGGAATTAATTTCTGGAGTTTGGCAATAAAATATATATACCATCACATAAAAAAAAAACATGCTCACTAATCTAGTATCTCATGTGACGTGATGATCTTTTCATGTTGTTGCCATGTGAAGACTTGAAGATGAAAGCAAATGTAACGAGACAAAATTGTAAACTATCAATTACCTATAAAATACTACCCTTATCACCCAGCTTAGTGAGCATGTTACTTATGTTACCACTTCTCAACACTGGTGATGTCAAGAATATGTAAAATGATAAGAATGCCACAAAACAATTTAAAGTTAACTCGAGCCCTGGGTTCAGAAAAAGGTTGCAATGAAAAAAAAAAAGGTGGTATCTCTTAGAGCTGAAAAATATTTTTACCTTTTCATAAAAGACCCTACTTTATTGCCTCATCTGTTTCAGAAATTCAAGAAAAGCAAATGTTACCTCCATTAGCCATCTTTAACTTTCAACTAATAAACAAGAGGGAAGACAGCTAGTCAACAGAACCCACCGCCAACCTTTGGGGTAACTCTAATCAAATAATGAGATTTGACTATCACTCTTATGATGCACTCATGGCTTCAGAGAGCAAAGTACATTTTTGTGGCAAAGGGACAGAAACCATGAACCCTACTATTTACAGTCTGATCCATACTTTAGCAATAGCTCAGTCCCAAGCTATATTATTGTTTAATTTGAATTCAAATGACTCTGAAAAAGTGCATGATCCCACGTTTACTAGTTTGGTAATTAATCAGTTATTCTCACAAGAAACTTAGATAATTGGAATAAACCAAAATAGTAATAACTGAAGACACAAATTTTGATTGACCAATCGGTGCTCATGGGTAATCAGTTTAATTTTTCAGCCATAAAACTTATTGCTCATGACCTGGCCAAAGTTAGCATATTTGATTATTAATTTTTTTAATTTTAACTGACTTTATCATCAGATATTTGCATAATTCAAGTTTTTGGTTATGCTGATTAGATTCTCAGAATTATACACCAAATTGGATAAGTTGGGCGTAATAAATAAAGAAACAGGTTGAAGATAACTGTAAATACTCCGAGACCTTACTTAGCCTTCCTTACCATAGTTTCTTCCTGTAGCTGAAATAGTTGTTCCTTTACTCTCACTGTTTCTCTCTGACTCAGAGCTAACTGTTCCTGTAACTTCATTGCCTTCTCCTCTACTTCTCCTTTATCTTTTCTTGCCTCTCTTAGCATGGCATCAAGCTCGGAGGTGGCATTTGCATCTCTTTCACGATGAAGCTCTCGTACCTAAGTTGTTCAAATTCTGATATGAGATGAAAATGCATTCAAATGAAATGTCTACTTTTATAGTTAAGTATGTATGTTAAATCTTTTGCTAAAAATACATTTATAAGAATCATAAACAAGAAGTGGCATGTGTATCAAGGGCAGATTTACCAAGTCTTCTGGAACTGCATGTGACAAGTCAGTTGACTTTAGTAATCCATTTATGAGAAACATGTTAATAGAAACGTACACTTCAAGCACTGTCAGTTGACTTTAGTAATTCATTTATGAGAAACATGGTAATAGAAACGTACACTTCAAACACTGTCAGTTGACTTTAGTAATCCATTTACGAGAAACACGTTAATAGAAACGTACACTTCAAACACTGTCAGTTGACTTTAGTAATCCATTCATGAGAAACACGTTAATAGAAACGTACACTTCAAGCACTGTCAGTTGACTTTAGTAATTCATTTATGAGAAACATGGTAATAGAAACATACACTTCAAACAATGTCAGTTGACTTTAGTAATCCATTCATGAGAAAAACGTTAATAAAAACGTACACTTCAAACACTGTCAGTTAACCTTAGTAATCCATTCATGAGAAACACGTTAATAGTACACTTCAAACAATGTCAGTTAACTTTAGTAATCCATTCATGAGAAGTTGATGTTGATGACCTGGAAGTAATATAGTACAATAACTGGAAACTTCCTTTCAACTGAAGGTATTTTAGCTTGCTATCAAATCAGTTAAATGTTAAACAAAGCCCAATCACACATGGAAAATAATGGGTAGGTGTGTTTACTACTGAAGATTCTTATGTCAACTGTAATTTTTAAACACTGTTACTGAACTTTTCCATAGACAAAAACTGGTGATTGGTCCCAAACCAAAACATGAAGACCAGTAATTATGCTTTTGAGATTATGTTAGATTTATATACCTCTTACTAAACAGTTTAGCCATTCTTTTGTTCAGCTGTTGTTCCTGAGAAGCAAAGTAGCTTTTTCTTGACAATTATGAAGCCATAAGTATGTTAATTTAGCTGTGTTTTATGGTACATCCTACTGCATTAGAGCACTATCATGTAATAGCAATATGACAGGTAATTTTGTACAGACTTGCACATTTTTCAGTTATAATCTAATTTTACAATTTACAAAGTATAAATGTTAAATTCACATTTTTATTTGCTATTAATGGGTCAAATGCCTAATTTAGCAAACATGTTGGAGAACTTGAAAATAACAAAAAAAAAAAAAAAGAAATGTTAAGTGTCTCTTACGTAATGCTTCTTTAATAAAAATAATATATAGAGTTCTATGGCAGCAAAGTTAACATGTATACGTTCAACTTGATTCTTGAAAGCATCTCTATAGCTTAGCACATTTTCCCCCTCTTCATTCTTCAAGGCCATTTCAACTTAAGTATACAACAAACATCTTGTTCATTATAGCAGCATACAGAGCAACTTCAAGGTCACTGGGAAAAAAACAACAATAACAACAAGGCCCTAGGTTTTGTAATGCTTTGGTTTAAAGTGTACAAATTTACTTTATTCTTTTGATAACTTGGGTTTAAATCCAAAAACATTCCACTTGAAAGCTTCTGCAGAATCTTTGTAAATTCATATTTCAATTAAAATTTTCTGTTTTTCATGGGTTGAAATACATACTAAATTTTCTTGCATAACAGAAATTCAAAAACTATCAGATCAGTTCTCTCATACAAACCAGGGCTCACAATGCCTCACCTTGGCCCATCTCTGGCCTCTATCAGCTCAATCTTTTTATACAAACCAGGGCTCACAATGCCTCACCTTATCCCATCTCTGGCCTCTATCAGCTCAATCTTTTTATACAAACCAGGGCTCACAATGCCTCACCTTGGCCCATCTCTGGCCTCTATCAGCTCAATCTTTTTACACAAAGCAGGGCTCACAATGCCTCACCTTATCCCATCTCTGGCCTCTATCAGCTTAATCTTTTTATACAAACCAGGGCTCACAATGCCTCACCTTATCCCATCTCTGGCCTATATCAGCTCAATCTTTTTATACAAACCAGGGTTAACAATGCCTCACCTTGACCCATCTCTGGCCTCTATGAGCTCAATCTTTTTATACAAACCAGGGCTCACAATGCCTCACCTTAGCCTAACTCTGGCCTCTATGAGCTCAATCTATTTATACAAATCAGAACTCAGAATGCCTAACCTTAGCCTAACTCTAGTTTTTACAATTCTATATGAACAGATACGTAACAACAATAATGAAATTATGACTGCTTAAACTTTTACAAAGTTATTTTCTAATGTCACCAGTTCTTTAAGAATTTTGCTATAATCAAACCATGATTGTTAGAAACAGAATACTATACATTTTGGTACTGATTCAACAAATTTTATTATTACTATGCCATAGTTCTCAATAAAGAAAAATTATTTTAAAAGTAAATAAATTTTGGTGAATCAGTTGAGTCATATCACAAGACACCAGCTTCTAATAAGCTGGGCATAAAGATGTATTCTATCCTAAAAAACATTAAAATACCCGTTTTTAGTTTGTACAGTACAGGTAAATAAAGATATATTCTTCATTTAGGCAATTTAAAAGTTTTATATCAACAAATTGTATATAGGGAAGTATTATATTGACTGAATACTGGCTTTATGACATTCACCATTGGCAAGGAGTAAACGTAACTCAATATTCCAAAATATTTACTTTGATGAATCATATCAGGCCAAACATACAACAATGAAGTCCTAGAGATACAACCTTTCTCTTTACAAATTCCCAAGTGTATGTGATGGTTATCAAAGTGTGTAGAGGTTCTCATTCTTACTTTTTGTTGCTGACTTTCTAGTTGTAGCTTAAGTTGATCGATTTCTATTTGTTTGGCCGCCAGCTGCTCCAGACTTTCTGAGAGCTGCGTGTCCAGAAGCTGTTTGTCAGATCTCACACTCTCTACTGTAGAACTAAGTAGTCGAAGTCGGTCATGAAGCACCTCTCTTTCTCTCTGATGCTCCTGTGCTTCCTCTTTGGCTGCTTGGAGAGCCGTTGTCAGTTCTTCTTTTTCTGCCATCAACCTTTCGACTTGAGCATGAGTTTTCTGGAAGTATAATCACATCTACAAAGTTAATAAAACTCAGATTTAACAGATATAACGTTACAACAGGTTATTCCAAGTATTTTAAACAAAGACAGTACAACTAAATTCTTGCCATTGTATTTAATTTCTCTTCTTAGGCCAACAGAATAGAGGCCTTTATTTCTCCAAATGCTGCTCTATAGAATTTGTCAACTGTGCCAAGAGAATTCTTAAAATTAATGTTAATCATGTTACTTGTAATGCATCATAAGTAAGCAGGAACAAAATTATGTTTCAAAACTTTTTTCCCCCAACAAACAAATCCAAATAAATCAATTAAGAACCAAAATACTTTTGCGAAGCTTTCCTCATAAATAAGGCAACTAATTTAAAATCATACAAAAATCTGAAGAGAAACTTTTAAAAATAGTAGTTCATTACTAGTAGATACATTACAGAGGAAAAAAATGGAGTCTAGGAATTTTCATCAATAAAATTCTTTAAATTATTTCTTTTCGTTAGTTCATAAAGTGTGAATATAAATATATCTGCTATAGTTTGATAAATGTTGCATACTAATTATTTCAAATGTTTTTACCTTCACATCAGGCTTTGGACAAAGCATAAAACACAATTTTTTTTACTCAAATATTTAGATAACTTCAATTTCTAATCTTAAAAAAATAACAAGTGCAGATTACCTTCAGAAGCACCAAAATGTGTTCCTCTCTCTCCGAAGCACTCTGAGCAGTTTCCGCACCTTCTTCGTACAACCTAAAAAGCAGTGGTTTGAAATGTTCCACTTGTTCTCGGTAGTCTTCAAGCTTCTCCGTTTGGGAACACAGTGACTCGAGCAATACAGCTTTCTCACTCCTCATCTGTTCATTTTCCAGCTGGAGTTCTGTGACCTGATCCTGTAGATCAGTCAGCTCCTGCAGGGTGGCCTGTAGTTCTTCACTGGTGCTATATGATCAAGAGATAGGGAGTAATCAAGTAATCATAATATCATTCAGTTATAAAGAAAGTAAAGTTTGGCTAAGTCATTACATATCAAAATGTTTCATTTTCTTTCTCTGTAGCCGTTTTCTTTTTAATACGCACACCTGTATTCATATTCTCCTATCCTGAACTGTGTCTTAAAATCAAATAAAAAAGTTGTGTTAGCGCAATATTAATTTCTACTTCAAACTACTTTTGTTAGGCCTATCAATAAAAATTTAAGTTTAATAACTTAACTAAGGAATTATAATTAATAATCCCTTATTTTATTTTTACCAGAAGCTCAAATGATAACAACTGTAGTGATGTCAATATCAGATGTGGTGACATTAAGAAAACCTTTATACAGAATACAAATAGATTAAAAGACATAATAACCAAAAGATTTTACATGGAGAAGTATAGTATTCATTATATAAAACTGAAATAAACTCTTGAAAATAATGTATTTTCATAAGTGTCCACAAACACTCATAAATGGTTTAAATACTTAAATATATCATTCTTTTAATTCACACAAACGTTTTTATTAAATTCCTATGCTTATGACAGCAGTGCTAAAAGGAAGATATAGTTATATTGTTGTCGTAATACAAAATATTTCTTTTTCTGAATGAGAATCCTTTTTTTTTTCCGTGGTTCTGATTGGAAGTCATCAAGTTATATAGATACCTGTAGTGTGTTTCTTCCATCTGCATGATACGATCCTGCAAGCAAGATAATGACATCTCGCTGATGCTACTACTGCTCATCTTATCCCACTCAGCCAAAGGACGTCCTGGAGGAGGAAGGGTAACTCCGGAAGCTTCTCCAGATTCTGACTCTTGATCGGGACTACATACCCCTCTGGATTTGAGTGTGTCTTGTTCAGAGGCTCCTGGAACTGGACTTGTCTGAAAGCAAGTTGTGACTATAAGAGCAAATAGAGGTAGCTTAGTGAAATCTAGATCAACAATAGTTTGGTAACCTGTGAAGCCATTAAAATATGTAGTTTTACACAATCTGTAGAGGAGTCAAGCTGGAACAAAATGGAAATTAAAATGCTGATGAAGAAAACAATAAATTTTCAATGACCGCGACTGCAAACACAAAAGCACACCAAGTTCTTCCTGGAGATGTACGCAATGAAATGGCTACCGTAGTGACAACAAACAATGAAGTATTTGCTTCTGATCAACAGCCAAAGGCTAGCTATCCAGAAGTCTGATCAACTTATATGTGGACAAGAAGGACTACCCTTAGTCCTCTTGCTGCGATGAAAATCTTGGAAGTGTTAACTGAAGCAAAACTTCATCTCTGTCAGTATTCAAACGTCAAGGAGTTTCCATAGCAATAGAATGGTATGATCTTTTTTGCTCTTCCCGATAAATCTTGCCAAAAGCCAAAACTGATAAAGAAAATAAATGATCTCGAAGATTTAATTACTCATCATTTAATGGAACAACTATCAACAGGAGCAGAAATCTCAGCTTTTTAAAAAGTGGTTGACAATATTACAAAATCAGAGGGTGAACAACTGTGAAGATTATGGAAATGATAAGTTGCATTGCTAAAAAAAAAGACAGAACATATTCCGATCATCCTAATTTAATGGAATTACACACACTATGTTGATCCTGGAATCGGTCTACGTTTGCAATTCGGTGCTAAACATTATAGACCATATCTTTTTTCTAAAATGCACTGAAAGGCCAATACTCAGATACGCTAGATTGATGGAATGATATCAATTCTTAGTGACAAATCAAAAACTCAAAGGAGGATGAATCTCGCTTCAGGTTTCTTTACTTGACTGAACTTTTGGATCAGAGAGCTTTAACTATTGTGGACTGTGTGACTAAATGTCTCAAAAGGTAGAATTTAGATGATTTTAGAAATCTTGTGGCATTTGCAAATGACAGTGCTAGTGTTATGCCCTGGCAAAAACTCTGGCATAACTAGTTCTACTACAAAGAAGTATCCAAACATGATAGTTTGGTACTGTTTGAACCATAAGCTGGAATAGGCAGCTGCTGATACAATAAGGGAAGTAGCAACTGGGTTCGTTTTTGAAATCAGTTGTGAGCTCATATAGCATAGTATATGCTATCTGGGATAACTTCCAGGCATTTTCACTTTGAAACTGTATCTCAAGTCATGAAAAGAGACAACAAAGTGAGGTCAATGTTTATGGGGTTGCTGAAAAAAAATTCAGTTGCTCCAATTCTTGATCAATCTTAGCACCGTGTATGACTTATTGTTTGAGCTATCAACTGTGTCTGAACAGCTTCAATATCAATGTGTTTCATTTGTTTCATACCATCTACATTCAAAAAAACTGTGAAAGAAAAGCCTGCCACAAAACTAGTTCAAGCTAAATGTGCAGCTAAAGAACTGAACTTGCACTGTGTGAAAACAAGAAACTTGTAAGGATTAATAAAAAACAATTTCTGACAAACACAACTAACAATATATGAAATATTCTTCACCATCTAATCCCATCATAGCAAAATGGTGGTGGTACCAATACTAAGGAAGAGAGCCAGCTGGTCTAAAAACCTCTGCTCAACTACATGTAGGTTAGGCAGACTCACTTTAAGCAAAGTTCTCCATGATAAAGATGTAACTCGAGCCTTAGAATTAAAAATAATTTCCATGTTATAGCATCAGTGAAATTTTGTTCATACCCTTTAGGATGTCAAAATGATTCATATACAGTATCAGACTGATAATCTGAGATGACAGAAAATTCTTCTCTCACTCTGATTTTTTATACAATATGTACATGTATAACAAGAAAAATTTAACACTATATTATTCTTTGACTTTTAATAAACAGTAATATCATATTGTTCACTACTACATTTTTATTTGTTCCTTGGAGAAATAACACAGTAATTCTCCCAACATTTTTATTTGTTCCTTGCAGAAATAACACAGTAATTCTCCCAATATTTTTATTTGTTCCTTGGAGAAATAACACAGTAATTCTCCCAATATTTTTATTTGTTCCTTGGAGAAATAACACAGTAATTCTCCCAATATTTTTATTTGTTCCTTGGAGAAATAACACAGTAATTCTCCCAACATCTTTATTTGCTTCTTGGAGAAATTACACAGTAATTCTCCCAACATTTTAATTTGTTTCTTGGAAGAAATAACACAGTAATTATCCCAACATTTTTATTTGTTTCTTGGAGAAATAACACAGTAATTCTCCCAACATTTTTATTTGCTTCTTGAAGAAATAACACAGTAATTATCCCAACATTTTTATTTGTTTCTTGGAGAAATAACACAGTAATTCTCCCAACATTTTTATTTGTTTCTTGGAGAAATAACACAGTAATTCTCCCAACATTTTTATTTGCTTCTTGGAGAAATAACACAGTAATTATCCCAACATTTTTATTTGTTCCTTAGAGAAAGAGTAATTCTCCCAACACAATTTAATAGAAACATAAGGTTTAAATATCATATCAAATATATCTATTACAGAATTAGATGATCAAAATACTTTACTACCAAGACAAACAAAAGGTTGAGTCATTTACACATTAACATTGAAGTATTATTTGCAACAGTAATTTAGTACAAGTTATACATTTATACCTGATCTGAACCTACTGTACTGTCGTCTTTTCTCAAACTCTCAACTTCTAAACTGGCCAGTGATCCAGAGACTGACCTCCTCAGAAGAAGCTGTTCCTTCTCACTGTCTGACAAGGTCACCTGATCAAGAGGGGCACCCATCTCCACTAGACGCTCCTTTAAAGATCTATTTTCTGCTTGAAGGGCCTCCGTTTCTTGGTAAAGATGATGGTCTCTAATTTCTTTATTTTGTTCCTGATGGAAGAAACAGTTTAAATAAATCATGTTATCTACAACTCTTGCTGAATGTAATAGTGAGCTCATCAGAGAATATTAAAACAAATTATGGGAAAGTGAAGAAAAGCTTGATAACAAAAGTTCAAAAAATATCAGTCACTCTAGGAAGTATGGTTACAGCTAACACGGTTTGTAATGTTCCAGTGATATTACTGCATATAATTTGTGTTAAAGTGACACTTTATTCTGGTAATACTGCACACACTAGTAAAACTGTATGATGTTAAGACTCATTTTATTTTACAGATAGATAATAAAACTGGGCATTAACCTCTACTCCTTACACTTGTAAGTATATGAATATTTCTCAAACTTTCTTTGTAAAATGTTTGACATTAAATGACATTAAATTAGGATTTTAGGCTTAAAAGTAAAATATTGGAATTTTAGGGTTAGTAGTAATATGTTAAAAACTACACGACACTTGGTTTAGAACATTATTTTTTTCATAAACTATTATGAGTAACATCTAAATGTATGCTACATCTCGTCGTCATGACTGGCATAGTAACTTGTTTCCAACCATACTTGATCATATTCAAATTAATCTGAAAATTCTGTTTAAATATATGGACAAAGGAAAACATAAGTTTGAGTCCATTATATCTTATACAATCTAATGGCTAAAATAATCAAATTTTATTTCATTTACAAATTAATTTAATCTATTATTATTCATAAAACCTACTGCTCCTAGTTTTGGACATCACTATGGTTGGCTTTACATCTCTTCTTCGTTATATTGCTCTTACACTAAATACATGAAAATTATGTAAATATGCAATATAAAATGTTTACATGTACATAAGCTCAACACCTGGAAAACCTTTTTCGACAGTAACATGTTAGAAAAACTCAACATGTCACTGAATTATATGACTACTAAAAACCTTAGAGGTAAAACGATTTTAAAATTTAAGCATCTTTATCACTGTTTGCACTAAATCAATAACAATAACAAAAATTTTTTTTAATCATACATTTACATGCATTTCAGCCAAAAAAAAAATTAAAGTAAAAATTTTAAATGCTACATTCAGTATTTTGAGACTGAATGTAGAAATATGTAGTATAGTATTAAAAAATTTTCAGTTCTTGCAATACAAATCTGGTGAGGGAATTTAACCTACGATACTTGAATACACTACCTTCATTTTCTACAAGTTTAAATGGCACTGGTTTTATATACCTTGAGTCGCTTATTTTCCATCTTTAATGCAGCTATTTCCACTTTTTTCCCCTCAGCGTTTCGCACAAGTTCTGATACCTGATGCTTTAATTTATTCTTCTCCTTCTCAAGAAGACTGACTGTAACTTCGATGCTAGACTTCTTACTCTTGAGTCGGGATCCTCCTAGATTTTCCTTTTCTCGTTCTCTGTTTCCACTGGAATCAATGCTGTCCTTGCTAAATGCCCGACGCATGTTCCCACTAGGAATCTTTCTGTTGCTACTTTTCTGCTCTGATGGTCCACTATTAGGTGTCTGGATGTTTTCTTTGTTAACTGACTTAATTGGAACAGTATCACCCTTCCCTTTCTGGCTCCCCAGAACAGCCTGACTGGAAGATTTAACTGGAACGGATATCTTTCTTTTGGTGTGAGCGACCTGCGAAGATGTCAAACTGTCCTGGCTACCAGCAAGTGTTTTATTGCTATGTTTCTGAGAAGACGAGGTTTTACGATTTCCAACTAAAGAGCCTGTTGTTGCACTCCTCTCTACTCCAGCTCTAGGAGTTTCACTTGAACGTCCAGTGCCGTAACTTCCACCAGAAGAGGGTGTTTTAGATCCTTTAGATGAGGAACTGGTTGCTGTATTTTCTTTTTTCATTGTGCTGGATTTTTGAGTGTTCTTCATTATACTGTGAAAATCTCAGTTTGTTCACCAACAGTGAACAAGTAATGCCTACAAAAAGGTAAAAAAAAGAACATACTTAAACTCACCATCATTGAAACTTATTATGTATATTAAGTAGATTATTCTGAAAACTTTGGAATCATTACGTTTCGTAGTGGACACATTCAGTCTGAACTTCATAGAGCTTCGTTTTTGACTATTCTTCCTGGTCAAATAAACCTACATGTTACCTTGTCCAAGCTGAGCAAACTTAAAACTATAACACTTCCAAGATATACATATATATATATATATAATATTTCATTAAAAACATTTCTTTTTAAGAAAAAAAAAAAGAGAGAGAGAGAGAAATGCAAATTGTCTTGAGAATATAAATGTGATACATGTGAGAACATTTTAGGTCACATTAAAGTATCAACACACCTTAAAACAAACTTACTGCCTTCATTATACAAACTTAGAAAATACTGTTGATATAACTAAACTTTGAGCATTTTACAGCAATTCAAAAAATTATATAATTTTTAGTATATTTTCTAAATGCAACTCTTATTACAGATGAACCATGTAGGTGAATAACATGCATATATAAAAAAAAATTCCTTCAAATTCGAACATTGTATGTGTTTCAGACTTGTAGTGAATTTCCAATGCCATAGGTAGTTATGTTCCACTTAAGCTCCACTTCTTCATGCCTAGCTGCCCTGTTTTGTATTTTTTCTGTTCAACAATAAACCCACACACATTTTTGCTGTCAGTATTCAAATAACATACTGACCTTGAAAGCAGTAAAACTTGTATAGAACCAGGCATTTCCTTCCTAATGATCAATACATGCACTGGAGGGAAGGAAGCTTTTGAAATGAACAAATATAATTAAACCAGGATACTTACATATTCATGACAACCTTAGCATCTTTCTCGCTAGCACTAATCACTGATAAGGAGATGAAACCTTAAGATATAATGAAAAAACGTTTCAGAGGATCACGAAAAAACAATTAAAACCTCTTGCCCTGAATAGAACACACAAGTTCTATACTGATGTTCAAGACTTTGAAGGTGAATTTAAAAAAAAAAAGAAAGACTAAGTCTACTGGAGAATTTAATCCCTAAACCAGTTATAGGTAAAACATTTTTCTTGAAAATAAAGATACATGCAACTTAAAAAAGAGAAAATTTACGTCTTAAGGTTATTAATACATTTTCTTTGAAGATAAATGTTTTGAATATGTGTGTACACAGACACAATTTATATAAATATATAACTTTTAATCAATCATTTTTATTGAATAATGCAAACATACTGTTGAATGTAATATGATGGACTTTACACTAAATCCTATAAATCATATAACTCATTAGTCAGTTGATGGTCAGAAGCATATCCCATGCTTTGCATTTATTTTTTTAAATCAATACAGGTTTTTGTTTCTTTCAAATTGGTGAATGTTATATGGACTGGCAAACACTATGCTAATGATTATGTTAACATTATATCAGTAATAGCAGCCCATCCCATGCCATGTATGATACATGTACATGTAGGTTAACTGAAACACAGCTTATCTCACAAGTAATGGGTAATTTCTAATTACAGCAATTGTTTGATAACTTACTGCCATGTTATTATCCTTACGTGTATTTTATAATTATCAGTTTCTCTATACTATTATTAAAAAACAACAACCAATAATCCTAATTTAACCACACATGGTTTTTAACATAACTTTTTTTTTTATAGGTTGTAAATCTACACATCCGTTGAGAAACCGAGTTTCTGGCAGTCCCTATACTTTAATACCTTACACCCTGAGAAAAAAAAACCTCATCACACAACTAATTTTTTAGTTTATTATACTAAAGTAAACAGTACAGTTGCAGTATACATGCATGATGTATGAATACATTCCAGATCTATCTTGAAATAAGAATTACATACACATACCTACAGACGTGATCCACAACAGCTGGTGCACGTGTATAAAAATTGACTTCTCTTTGTGAGAAGTTTCTTCACATAATGGAAAAAAATTACAAAAATAACAACAAAGTTTAATATAAAGAGTACCTGCAGAAGTATCTGAAGACAACAAACCTGTATATATGTATTGAATCTATCTTTTTGAAGTAGATGTTGGTCTAATCTACTGTATTTTGTTGTTGTTGTTTGACGGACAGATGTTAGAGCGTCACTCCACAATTTAATACCCAGTTCCTATTTTATAAGTACACGTACTTGTATACACAAGGTTTTGAGATTTTTATCTAGAACTACATGTACAATCACGATAAAATTGTTTTGTCACATCCACTGACTAGTTTCCACCTTGTGATGATGCCATCAAGATTTTTCATTTTCTTTTATAGAAGTAAAATTTTTAAAAACTGTGCTTACATAACTGTTCTTATACACACACATACATATATATATATATATATATATATATAATACAGATAACAATCTGTATGAACAACTATGCCTTCTGTTGTTTCCATAACACATATTGACATGCATATTATAACAAGCTTTAAACTCATACGATATATTTTACATGCAGTTAGGATCAAGCGTACACAGTTTATAGCAATTTCAAAACCAAGAGTACAAGTTTTTAACTCCAACTAATAAACAAAGTGCACCAATCTACCAAGATAACCATACAAGTTCATGTTTGTTATCTTTTTGGAATTTCTCTCAAAGCAACTTGAGGGATATCTGCACTAGCCATTTCTAATTCACAAATGATCCACTAGAGGGAAGGCAAAACCCTTGGGGCTACTCTACCAATGAATAGTGACATTGACTGTCACAATATAATGCCCCCACGACCGAAAAAGTGAGCATATTCGGGGACAGGAGTCAAACTTGTGACCTTCAGATTGCAAGTCAAGTGTTCTAACCACCAGGCCTAGAATTTCATGAACATTATCTGGACATATATCTATTTGTATGCAAATCAGAAGAAAAGTGAACAAGATACATTGCTTAAATAGGTAGATTACTATCATTGTGTTATGGCTAAGTATTTATACCAACATGTAAGGGTTAAACAACAGTATACGACAAGTTCTAAAGATCTTGAATACATGTCAAACGTACTGAAAATACAAGCTCCAACAGTAATGTGAAAATATAAATCACCTACGAATGATTCGTAAGTTTAGGGCCTGAATTTTTAATTCTACCTATTGTAACATACAATATGCATCTTATCAAAACTTAGCAAAAAAAACATAACTATTTTTAATGTCCCATTTCTTTGTCATTTAATACTTGTTTATTACAGTTTACCTTTGTGAACATAAACAGATTTGAATAATTAAATTTTACAGTTCATCAGTTGCTCTACAGTAGTAAAGTATGTAGAGGTACAGGTAATTGCTGACACCAGTGCTATCAGTAAATGCTATTTACATTTTCTTGTAACTGGAGCTTTTATTTAACTACCACACATAACACTAACCTTTTTATAAATACCACACACAACACCAACCTTTTTATAACTACCACACATAACACCAATCTTTTTATAAATACCACACATAACACCAACCTTTTTATAACTACCACACACAACATCAACCTTTTTATAACTACCACACATAACACCAACCTTTTTATAACTACCACACATAACACCAACCTTTTTATAACTACCACACATAACACCAACCTTTTTATAAATACCACACACAACACTAATCTTTTTATAACTACCACACATAACACCAACCTTTTTATAACTACCACACACAACACCAACCTTTTTATAACTACCACACTTAACACCAACCTTTTTATAACTACCACACACATAACACCAACCTTTTTATAACTACCACACATAACATCAACCTTTATATAACTACCACACACAACACCAACCTTTTTATAACTGCAACACCAACCTTTTGATAACTACCACACACAACACCAACCTTTTTATAACTACCACACATAGTTATAAAAAGGTTGGTGTTGCAACACCAACCTTTTGATAACTACCACACACAACACCAACCTTTTTATAAATACCACGCATAACACCAACCTTTTTATAAATACCACACATAACACCAACCTTTTAAGTAAATGTGCCTTTGCCAAGGTCATTAGACCATGATGCATACATGTCACAAATTACAACATTAAAAACTGCTTATCACAACTACAGTTAAAGTGCAAACACAGAACAGGAAGTTAAGAACACCTTAGAGTTAACCAAAAATATATCAAAAATAACTCACCTACTAGTTTGGAAAATTATAAACGTGAAACCATTTTCTTACATACATATCTAAAAATAATAAAAAATCACCCTCCCACTTATACACACACATCCACAAATTAAAACTATTTAGAATAATGAAACAGTCCAACAAAGTTAAAAATAATTAGTACTGAACGACCATGTTTATTTTTAGAAATAATCCAAAATTGAGCTATTGATTCAATAAGTAGATTTCATATTTATAAAATAATATACTACACACATACACAAATATATATATATATAAATAAAATAGTGATTAGCATTAAGTTCAGTTTGATCCAATACCTTTTAATTTACCAACACATGAGCATGCTTCTGGAATACACATGTTGAAGGTTCTATGAAAAGTGATCTTTATCCCACACAATATTTCTAGAATCAGGCCATGTGGCTAATACAATCCACCTACTCTTTAAAACTCCCACCACCATCATGTGGTTGTATCTGGTTATCACTTTTTGTTCTGGACGTACTGTCCATGTTTCACACATCTACCACGTACAGTTGATCACCATGTACAGTTGGTTACAAAAATAAGTTAACTAGATCCCAGATACTGCACAGCTATTCTAAACAAAATGGAGCTGTTTTTTGTATCGGACAACAATGCTGCTCCACCACGACAGACTTATCAGGAGTTCTCGCACAGTCTTATCATGAGTTCTCCAGCCATGACAGACTTATTACGAGTTCTCAAACTATGACAGGCTTATTATGAATTCTCCTGTTATGATATGCTTATTATGAGTTCTCCGAACATGAGAGGCTGAT